AAACTTGTAATAATAAATTAAGTATAATTTAAAACCGTACAACTCGGGAATCCACCTAGTGGACCCCTAATTCCAAATCCTTGAATAACTTTACAAAATTTAAATCCAAAATTAAAATAGAAAGGAAGTCCTATGTAACCGGAAGAGTGAGTGTCTGTATCTGCATCAACACGATCAAGCTCTCAGCCTGGTACCATCGAACACCTGAAAAATAAAGGAGTGGGTCAGGCCCACATGCAAGTCCTGATCTACTACGATCCAAACAGGAATTCGATACGCAGATACATCTTAGATAGACTCAACAATATCTAGAGTAGTCCATCTATGAATATATTACACACTATAGGACGTTCACTAGTCCAATAGGTATGTCTCAGCCTGAGTAGAGATACCATGCAAATCGCACGTAATGTGGTCATGTGTATCTAGACCTACCAGGGAACAAAACCACTGTCCAATTATCCATCCTAGGCGATATATGCACCTTAACCATGGTCCTGAGACTCAAACTCATACCATGGCACCATAATATAAGTATATAAAGTCCGTTCAAAGTGTGTCATTCAAAAAGTTTATTGACCTGACACAAAGTTATAAGTAGGACTTAACTTTTGTAGTTAATCCATCTTATTTCAGAATAGGTAAGTCTTAGTATTTTTTTTAGACTAAGCCATCCCTAATATGCCACCGTCCCATACCGGTGCATATACATCCATACAAGTAGAACTTAACTTTTATAGTTAATTCAACTTATTCCAAAATAGGTAGGAGTTAGTATTTGAACTAATTCGTCCCTAATATGCCACCGTCCCATACCGGTGCATACAACCCTCCAAATAGCATAGTTTACAAATAACACAATGTATTCAACAACCATTCTCCAAAATATGCATCATTATAATCTAAATACATATATATCAATATTAGGCATTCATTATAAGGCCTAACTATAACATTCCAATAATGTAAACTGCCAAAATAATCTAAGCATTCACATTCCTCAACTTGTACATAAATCGATGCAGTTCCGTAGCAAGGTGTATACAAATTTGGTCCAACATAATTATAGTTAAACATGGGCGTAACTAAGTCATGCCTCCACTGAAAGACTTAGAACCCAAGTTTCAGTCCATTAAATTGATATAACAGGTTTATGCAACTTCCTTCTCCAAACAGTACTATAATTGTGCATATATGTACTGAATTAAGCATTAAACTATTCCAAACACACATACACATAATTTAATAACAACCTGCTTATAACAGAGCTGCCAACCATGCTTCAAAACCTAAGAACATGTAAAGAAATCAAATCTCTTCCAGACAGTGTTGTAGCAAATGAGATATATAATAGATTTAAACTATCAGTCAATTCCAACCAAGCATACATGTATTTAAATAACATAATGTTCATAACTCAACTACAGATCATAATTCAAAACTTAAGACCATGCAAAGAAAACAAATTGCACATCAGTTTGCAACGCAAGCTAGTTGCTCCTTTAACCACATATAGACTTTTGATCAAACTGATGTTAATTCTGTCCTAGATTCTGAATGTAAGCTTGGTTCTTAATTATTTCATACATCATAAGCAGTGTATTACCTCACTCAACAGCCTTTAAACCATTCCAGAAACCCAGACTCAGCCAAACAGAACATAAAATTTCAGTTTTACGCACCATTAAGAGAAAGAGAAGGCTCTAAGTTTCACAGAGCCTTCTCCACTTTAGGAGAGCCGGCTCCCCTTCCTTGGGAGCCAGCTCTAGATGGGTGGGAGCCGGCTCTCACCCCTAGAGAGCCGGCTCTAGTGTTTTGGGAGCAAGCTCCCTCTATTTTTGGAGCCTGCTCTTACCCCTAAGAGCCCTGGCTTGTTCTACGTCTGTCATCTTCGACTCCGGCGGTTACAGTCTTTAAAAAAATAGTTTTATTACAGATTTTAAAGTCCTATCCTCATCTCAGATAAATCACCAGACAGAGTTATACCCCTTTTAGTTGAATAACAGATCAAAGTTTGAAACAACGGCAACCATACAAAAAACTGAACTTGTAGTCGACTGAGAAACAGATTCAATTCCATCATGCTAGAAACTTATTTAACATGTTTAATTTCAGTTTTTAAGATCCCACTCACATCCCAGAGTAACCACAAGACAGAGTTATACAAACAAGAACGGAACTAAACATCAATTTGTAAAGCATCGACAATAAGATTTTAAGCTGAACGTGTAAAACTATGAAAACAGATTATATTCAATGATGTTTAATACTGTTACAACATGTATAAACGATGTCATTAAGTCTTACTTTAATTCCTGGAGTGTAACTAAGCATGCACAGAACACAAATTCTTGGGAAAGAGAAGATCAGAAACTTGCCTTTGAATTTCAGATTTGAAATTCTAATTCACCGTCTCTGTAATATGTTTGGTTCCTAAACTGCAAGTTTGCTCCTCCAGTGCCTTGGTTCAATCCAAAAACACCTCTCCTTCCTCCTTCTTGGTCCAAACTTAATCCAGACCAAAACCTAGACCTCCTCTCTTTATCTTCCTCTCTGTCTCTCAATATCTCACTGTATCTTTGTTCTACAGAAAACCTACGTTTTGTTTTGTATTGTTTTAAACCCTAATCCACTGTACTATACATATATATAGGTTTAGACATTAAACCCTAATCCATATATAACCCGGCCCATATGTAAACCTAGGTTACAAATCAATGACGGCTGCCTATGAAAATTATAAACCCAATGAAAAGCTATATAACAGTCACGTTGAGAACAAACTAAATCAACTATCACAAAATTAATCCAATTAAAATTATTAAATAAAACAATTAACTCAATCAAATTATTCAAGTAAATAATTAAAACAAATTTAAGTAAATAATTAAAACAAATTTAAGTAGATCATTTATTTAAAAATAAATACACACTTAATCAATTAAACAAACCAAAACACATAGCTCACATATTAAAAATGCAATAAAACTCAAAATTATCAAAATTAAATTCCCATTCTATCCTTTTGGAAACTAGGAGTACTACAAATGCCTTGAAATATTAGTGACTATAACTAGAACAAGACAAGTAAATTAAGATTAGAAATCATTAAATTCTAAAAATAAGCAACCTAAGGGAGGCCCACCTATAGACAAAACTCTTGAAGATTCAACAACACAATGTTGAGTAGTTGAAGTTGAAACCCCTGAATCCCCACCCTGTAGAAATGGTGATACAAGGGTCACCTTTCTAATATGACTGAATTCCACTATAAAGACAACCATTATATATCAGAGATAAATGACCGGTTAGATAGATGACCACTACTCCAGCATAATATATGTGCTTGAACCAAGGATTATTTCAACAGGTCTCAATTTATTCTCCAGAGACGAATCAATGACCAGAATCTGATATACATATAGTATTTATTTCAACAGGTCTTAATTTATTCTCCAGAGACGAATCAATGACCAGAATCTGATATACATATAGTATTTACTATATATATATATATATATATGTATATATATATACACATTGAGGAAGGCCTGAAAAGGAAGTAAATTGAAGTGGGGAGGAAGGCCTGAAAAGAAAGTGGTTGAATTGGGGACGAAGGCTTGAAGAGAAAGTAATTGATTGTTTAAAACTCACAAATTATAAAGAGAGAGCAATTCTAATTACTCTTATTTCTTATTTCTTTTTTTTTTTTCTTTCAGTTTCCTCTTACTTCTTGTGCATAATTCTCCTAAAGTGCCTTTAAATTATAGAACATGGGTTATTTTGATTATGTGTCGTTTCGGCATAAAGTTGGTAGTTAATCTTTTAAAGTTGGGCCATCTGGGCTTCTCTTGTTTGGGCTTTTTTGATTACCTTTGAAGTGTAATTGTTTTCTTCTGCATGGTTTACATATTGGGCTTGATGGCCTGTGTTTTGTATGGGCCTTAAAAAATTAAAATACCTTTTTAGGGATGGAATTTATCATTTTATAATCGAAAACCTGTGTCTAAATTTTATGAGAGAGAAAGATTGCGTCGGATGTCTTGAGCTTATGAAGTTTATGAGCTCAATACTTTATTAATTTTAAAAGAATAATAGGCAAAATGAACATTTTTTATTTTGAATTAATTCTTGAATGTTAAAAGTGTTTGCGCTCTTAATTGCTTCAAGAAATAACTATAGCAATGCTTACTTTTGTCCGTAGAGAAAGGTTGAACCCTCAAGATTTACTGTACTTGGCAGAGAAGATAAAGTTGAGAGTCTAAAGTGTTGTTTCATAACTCAATTTATCACTTAATTCTAAATGAATTTAACACTTATCTAATTAAATATCTTTAATTACAAAATTTAAATACAAAAACGTAAAAATTAATTTTATTGAGAGTATCTGAAAAAGATTGAAATCGGAAAACTTCTATTTCAAAAGGAAAAAATCTATATTCATTCTGAACAAAAAAAACTAGAGTATTTTGAAGCCGCTATTAGAAGTCTCGCTCCCTGAACTTGTTTAAAGAAATTTTAAGTGTGAAAAATTAACAATACTTTTTATATTATAATAATATATTATATTACATTTTATATAAAGAAAGAATAAAATTATTATTTTATAAAATTTAAGTCAATAAATTTATCCAAAAAAAAAAAAAACTGCATGAAAATTTAATGTAATTTACCCTTAAAAAATTTAAAATTAATGTATATTAATTTATAGAGTATCCTTTTTTTTGTTATATATAATAAAAAGGAAATCGGTTCGGTGATCTCAAGAATGTGACAAAGCGTTATTTTTCTGCATGCATGACGCGTGGTAGTAAGCGTGGCATTCCCCCAAGACTTTGAAGATCCACCTATCTTCCCCCCCTCTCTCTATATATATTATATACATGCATATGTATACTTCTATCAGTCCATTTCTCAATATTATCCATTTTAAATAGCTTTTCAACTTGCTGTAATCAGATTGTAGAGAGAGAGAGAGAGAGAGGAGAGAGAAGATAGAGATGTATAGTGCAAAGGAGAAGGTCAGCAACGCGGCTAGTGTTGCCAAGGAGAAGGTTGACAAATACAAAGCCAAAGTGGAAGAAAAGGTTCCTTTTCTAATTAATCTCTCTCTACAATATATATATATACACATACACATATATATATATATATGCATAATTTTCATTAAAAAAAAATGTTTAAATCGATATTTAAGCTGTAAATAGTTGAAGGGTTTTTATTCCTTTGATGATGCACGTACACTACTTCAGAAAATAGGTCTAAAAAGTATTGTTCATTTTTTATATATATAGGAATATATAAAAGAGGGCACTTTGAATCGAATTGCGAGTAAATAAATCTACTGCAAGGACAAAAGAAGAAGAAGAAATAGCTCATCAGGAAAGGAAAGCTAAGGAAGCTGAAGCCGAGATGAGAATGCATGATGCGAAATTCGAGCACGCGGCGGAGAAGTTGCAGGCAAAACACACCCACCACTGTCTCGGAGTTGGAGGTCATAGTCATACTTCTACTCATGCCCACTACCAGCCTGTTGGAACTGTGGCTCCTACGACTGGGACCACTGCTCCAGTATACCCTCTGAGAGGACAAGCTCGATACCCTCATGGACAACACAAGTGCATGTAGATTTTATTAGGGTTAGTTTCATGTGTGCATGTGTGATTGTACAGGTGTGGGACTTGGCTTGCATGTGTCCATTGTAAGACTTTCCTTTTTTTCTTTTTTCTTTTTTTTTTTTTTTTTTTTTTTTTTTTTCCCAGTTAAAAGCAGTGTCTGTTGTAACTTTGCTTCCTTGTTTTATCTTATAATAAAAGTTGGTTTAATCTTATTGTGGATGGTAATAAAATATTTAAGTTCTTAGAAGGAATCAATTTTGAGTTAAATTTTAAGCAGCACCTCAATATTAGCTAATAAGTCACACCAGATTATATTATTTTGAACTTATATGGGTAGTCACCCAACTTTGGACAGATTGACCGAGTAAAAATTGTTGGTGCTTGAGCACAAAATGAAAAAATATACTACTGGGACATTATAGTTGTCCAATTTTACACCTTTTAAGACATGAAGTTTTATTATATTTTATTAAATTGGCAATAGATGCATTTTCAAATTTGTCCTTTGATTGAAAAGACATAAAATAAAAAAAAAATCATTAAGCGCATTTTAAAAATTTAGCACGTAACAAAAAGGGCAATTTGTACAAAAAGTATATTTTGAAAATATTGAAATTTTCTTTCACCTAAATGCAGTAAACTTCAACTCACTCCTAACAAACTCTTTCTTTTCTACCAATGCACCTTGTCACTTAAAGCCTACACAATCCTTATGCTATTATACCATCAGTTCATCTCCTCCTTTTAACTCTTCCTTTTAACACCTAAGGGCTTAGGTGTTTTTTTTTCCTTTCTTTCTACCTTTTAACTCTCTTTTGTTCTCGGAAACTCTTTCAGTCATTAAAAATGGAAACTCTTTGTCATTAAAAAAAGAATTAACGAATCAAGGACATCAAACAATTGTTGAAATTCTACAATGCAAAGTGAAAACTAATAGTTGGAAAGAGATACCATAAATGCCACAACCAACGTGTAAATTTAAACTCAAAATGCTCCTTTCTCCCTCCAGACATTTCTGACCATAGCCACATTTTGCTCCTTTCTCCTTTCAGGCATTTATGACAATAGCCCCATTTTAGTCAAAGTCAACACATTTGTTCATGCAAGGGCTACCCCATTTAAAATTTTCAATGCTTGGTGCTCTCACCCTCAATTTTTGCCTATTTTTGATAGGGTTTGGAAGTCTTATATGAGAGGAACTGCCATGTTCTAAGTGGTACAAAAGCTTAAAGTCATTAAGCAGCCTCTAAGAGCAACAAGTAGGGATGGCTTCTCTAATTTAGCTTCACATATTCTAAAGGTCCAGGATGAGCTCAATTGTTGCCAATCAGATTCGAATATTTCTGCACAGGATTAGGAGCTAAGGTTAATGGAAAAAGCCCTCTACCTCCAATACTCTAGTCTTCTAGTTGCTGAGGAGAATGTAATGAGGCAAAAGTCCAAGGTTACATGGCTTCAATTGGGGGATTCTAACACATCCTACTTCCACAAGTCCTTCCTATCCAGATCAAACAAGAAGAGGATCCTTAGCCTTACCACTCTAGCGCCTCCACAATTGACTCTGAGAGTGAGATCAAGGATGAAATTCTCACCTATTTTAAAATTTTGCTGGGTGCAAACCCTCCTATCCACTGTGGAACTCATGCTCTATCTCCCTTTGTTAACAAAACAGTCCTCAGTCACATGCATGACTCACTTGTAGCCATCCCCCTCTGATCTTGAAATCCAACAGTGCATTTTCTCAATTAGTAAGGATAAATCTCCTAGCCCTGATGGGTTTAATGGTCATTTCTACCATCATGCTTAGCGAATTATTGGAACTTCCATTATCAAAGCAGTGAAGGAATTTTTTTCATAATGGGAAGCTTCTGAAGCAGTGTAACACTTCATACATTTCTCTAGTTCCCAAGCGCTAGAATCCATCTTCTCTCAATGATTATAGGCCCATCAATTGTTGTAATGTGATCTACAAGTGCATAGCTAACTTACTTGCATCCAAACTGCAGCCTACCCTCCCACTCATTATTGAACCATCTCAAATTGCATTTGTGCAGGGTAGAAAGATTATAAATTATATTCTCTTAACACAGGAGCTCATGAGGGGTTATCATAATTCAATCTTGGCCTCAAGATGTGCATGGAAGGTGGATATTAAGAAGGCCTTTGACACTGTAGGATAGGATTTTATTTTGGACTCTCTTCATCTATTTGGTTATCCACCAAAACTCATCATACAATGGATAAAGGCTTGTGTCACCTCACTCTCATTCACCATAGCTGTAAATGGTGAATTTCATGGGTTTTTTTCAAGGTGTTAAGGGGTTAAGACAATTCGATTCACTCTCCCCATCACTGTATGTAATTTCTATGGAAATACTATCAGGGATTATTAGAAGTTTTGTTGGATTATTGTCCTCATTCAGATACAATTGGAGATGTAAAGAGGTAGGAATCACTCACTTATCCTTTGCTGATGATCTTATCCTTTTTTGCCATGGTGATATCACTTCTATCTCTATCCTTAAGTCTGCACTAGACCATCCTCCATACTTTCTGGTCTTGTAATTAACCCCTCAAAAAGTTTTGTGTTTTTCTCTAACCTAGATCGACCCCATCAATACTTATTCTCTAATTTCCTTGAGGTGGAAATAAGGTCACTCCCTATTAAACATCCTGGTGTCCCCTTAATATCCATAGGACTTAAAGCTTCCCACTGTTAAACTTTGCTTCACAAGATCACAACAAGGATAAATCACTAGTCCACTAGGAGTCTCTCATATGCAAGAAGACTTGTCCTTATCAACTCAATGTTGGTTTCTACATAAATGTATTGGTCCAGTATCTTTGTTTTGCCAAAAGAAATTTTCTCTTTGAACTCAATGCCCTCCTAAAAAGGTTTCTATGGTCTGGCACTGACTTAAAGAAGACTGGCTCTTGGGTTGCATGGGCAAAGGTTTGCAAACCAAAATCTGATGGTGGGCTTGGTATCCCCAACCTTGACACTGCCAACAAGGTTGCCATACTCAGGCACATTTGGGAAATCCATACTTACAATGCTCAGAGAATTTGGGTGGAGTGGTGCAAATCCTACCTCTCCAAAGAATTTGTTTCTGGACAATGAAGGTTCCTTAATCTTGTTCTTGGAGTTGGAGGAAAATTCTCCAACTAAGGCCATTTGCCGGGTATCTTCTCAGACATAAGGTCAGAAATGGGCACAATACATTCTTTTGGACAGATAATTGGCACAGTAATGGGCCTCTCACACTCCACCACTCTGAAGACACCATTACCTCTATGTGGTTCTCCTACACTACTAAGGTTAGCCATTTTATCTCATCAAACTCATGGGCATTTCCACCTAAGCTAACATCATTAGTTCTCAAGCTCTTATCACTCAGCCCCCCCTCTCCCAACCTTAATGACTCTATTGTATGGAATGTTGGACCTTTTGGGCATTACACCTATAGGCAAACCATCACAACACTTTCCTCCCCTTCTGTACCTGTACTATGGTTCAAGCTTGTATTGAAGTCAATTGCTCTCCCAAGGCATAAACTGATTCTCTGGGTTGTAATTCAATACAAGATAGCTACCCTTGTTAGCAAATGCATGGCTAATCTTAATTATGGGCTCCAATGCTATCTGTGCTCGAATCTCCCTGAGACTCACTCCCACTTATTCTTTGAATGTGAATTTGTTTCTCCTATTTGGAGGTTTATTCAAGACAAGTGCAAATTATACATAAGGAGCAGCAATTGGAATCAATTTATTTTTTGGGCATAACCACTGGGATCGTGATTCGCCACGGATTGGAGTCTGCAGACTTGCCCTAACAGTTGGCGTCTATATTATTTGGCAGGAAAGGAATAACAAGGCTTTTAGGCTTCGGAGACAAAAGTATTGAAATCAATTGTATCATCCATTGTGGATGTTTTGAAAGCTTTAAGGAATTAGGGTTACTTAGATCTAGTTGGTGAATGGGTCATCTGCTCCTCATTTACCACTGATGCCTCCTAATTGAAATACAGGACAGGAGTGGAGTGTCATCAATGGAACCATCATGCCTTCACTCCTCCTTCACCATTAATGTCCTGTACCGGAGTCATGGCGAACAACCTCCTATAACGGTCTTTGCTGTATAGATGGGTTTTCGGTTGATGCCTTGCTGTTTGGGCTGGGAGCTCTATTGCTTCATTCTTTTTTGGGCTGTATTGTTTGGATTGGTTGGGGTTAATTTGCTCTCTCTTGTGGCCTGTAGTTGGGCTACATAGCCCAATGGGCCACCCTGTAATTATTTATACATGTATACAATTGCTTAACTGTTAAAAAAAAACGTGTAAATTTAAATTATAATTGTTCGTGTAAAAATAAAACATGAATTTTAAAATCTTAAAATTTCATTATTTTTACGTATTCATAATGCATAAATAAATATAAATACCATGATCCATGATAATAAATTTCGAAGAGATCAAGCCAAATGTTGAGATGCTTTTTGCGAAACAATCAATGGGTTAAACTGCAATTCCAGATAATAGCTAAAACGTAAAAATTAGTTTCTCTCTATTGAAAAATAAACTTGATTTTAATATTTAATTAGTTGATTCAAGTATTTGTCTTGCATAGTGCATGTGAGCATTTAACATGTTAGTGGGTAGTAAATTGTCTAAAGTGGAGTTAGTGTGATGTTGAAGATTATGTAAAATCAAGAGTCGTGAGAGTTAAGCCTATTAAATACTACGTTGGTGGGAGTTATGTCTATTAAAGATTATGTTAGTGGGAGAAATGAGAGTTATGAACATTTACATGTAATTCACAGATATATGTTTTTAAGGCCTATATAATCATGTACTCTACCCAATGTTATATGTGATTAAAGAGAATAAGATAAAATGGTATGCGTTGAATATAATATATTTCTAAGTGTTCCTTTTTCTCAACTCCACTTCCATATTATTGTGTTTTGTGTACCTCTACTCCAGTATTTCCAGCAAAGTGGTGTTAGAAAAA